TAAATTTTGTTTTCACATTTGTCATATAATCGAATAATCCAAGAAAATATGCAAGAGATCGTAATTTATATCATGGTGTTATACAATATTCAACACTAAAGTTTTAAAATCAAAGACAAAGAAGAAATTAGGAGAAAATCCCCTTTTCTTGAAAACTAGGGCTTTGAAGATAAAAAAAAAAAATCAATAGAGCTTTGGTGGTTACCCACCCTTCATATTGTTCAAAACATGGTATTTATTACAAATAGAACAAGAATCATGTATTTCATATTATATATGAGAAGGAGAGTGAAGAAACATATATCTATATACATATATATATATATATATATATATATATATATCTAGCCTCAATGTGAGAGATTGAGAGAAAATCCCCTACCTTAAATCAAGATTCCAAGCTAAGACTCAAGCCTCAAGACCTTCTTGCTCTCCTTTCTTTTCCTCTTAATCTTCTCCTCCTAGGGTTTCAAAAGATTTGGGTGAGAGGGTAGCAAGAATGGAAGAAAATGGGAGGAGAATGTATTCTTGAAGAATTTGAAGTTTTGATTTCTACAAGGTATAAATCCCTCTTGATTGATATTTCTATCTTCCTCTCTTCCTCTAAAATGGTTCCTAGGGTTTGGAGGGGTGAAATGAATGCTAAAGGGACGACATTAGGTTTTTATAGGGCAAGAAAATCGAGCAAAACCCGATATTTTCTGTTCAGAAAAAATCGGGTTTCCTTCGTACTGTTCACAGATTTTTGGTGCGACTTCTAGGTCAGTTTTGACCCATTTAGAGGTCGAATTGGAAATTTTGCATGAAATACACTTTTGTAGACCTAGAGGTCGACTATTTCCTATCCGAATTTCAGATCAATTGGACATCAAAATATAAAGTTATGATCAAAATACTAAGCAGTGTCTATCACCCCTTTTTACCCAATTTCACTCCAATTTGGTTTTACTTCTAAAATACTTCCTAACTACTAATACATCCCATATTACCTCTCCCAATGTTTTCCGACCTCCCGAATTCAATGGTAATGTTATTTTGATAAAAAAAATTAATATATTTATTTAGTTACCCTTATCAATCTTAAACACATCCAAAAAAAAAATTAAGTTTGACCCAAAAGTCAATCCGTTCGAAACTCAAACTTCATGATTAATATTTCAACAATGATTCTAAGTTTTTATCTTCATTTTATTCATATTTGAAAAACTCTTAAGATATTAGTATTCTTATTTAATTTTAGTACAGGGTCTTACAGGCAGTCATGAAAACAAAACTTCAGTTGATTCACATCTTCAAGATAATATGGTCGAAATGGTACACCAAGCAATGGGAATTCCAAATATAGGTTCAAACGTTGAAGATGATGTAATTAAAGATGATCTCTAGTCAAGGCCTAATGAAGAAACTACAAAGTATTTTAAACTTCTACATGAAGCAGAAAGTAAATTGTATCTTGGGTGTACACATTTCACTACATTGTCATTTATTGTTCAACTACTACATTTGAAGGTTCTCAATGGATGGACAAACAAGTCATTTACAATGTTGCTTCAGTTGCTAATCAAGGCTTTCCCTGAGGGAGCTAGACTTCCAAGTTCATATTACAAAGCCCAAAAAGTAATAGATGATTTGGGTTTCACATATAAAACATGGGATGCATGCCCTAATAACTGTATGTTGTTCAGAAATGAGGATGAAGGGTGTGATGAATGTGAGATATGCAATACATCTAGATGGTAACAATTCGAAGGTAATCCAAATGGCATCGTGTCATGTGAAAAATGAATAGCTGCAAAACAGGTGAGATATTTCTCTTTGAAACAAAGGCTGCAAAGACTATTTATGTCAGAAAAAACCTCTTTGCTAATGAGATGGCATGCAAAGGAACGGTCCGATGATGGTGTATTTAGGCATCCAGCTAACTCTCTTGCTTGGAAGACTTTGGATCAAAAAAACCAATCCTTTGCTAGTGACATTCAAAATGTTAGGCTTGGGTTAACAACCGATGGATTCAATCCATTCAGGTCCATGAACATAGTTCATAGTACTTGGCCTGTCATATTGATTCCATACAACTTACCCTCATGGTTGACCATGAAGCAGCCTTTTCTTATTTTGTCAGTGCTTATTGATGGTCCAAAAGGACCTGTCAACAAGATTGATGTGTATTTGCAACCACTAATTGAAGAGTTGAAAGAATTATGGTTAGAAGGTGTAAATACATTTGACGCATTAGCCAATGAAATGTTTCAATTACATGCAAGTTTCTTGTGGACAATTAGTGATTTCCCTACATACGCCAACTTATCTGGGTGGAATACGAAGGGTGAGTATGCTTGTCCCTCTTGTAATAAAAAAACTTAGTCTTGTTGGTTGAAGTATGGGAGAAAATATTGTTACATGGGTCACCGTCGTTGGTTACCTGATGGACACAAATTTCGAAAGTCAAGGGAGTACTTTGAGGGACACAGGAATATAGAGGCAAGCCTACCATTTTGACTGGAACTGATTTGTTGCTACAATTGGAATCAGAACATATATAAACTGAGTACAAGAAGGATGAAGTTATGGAAAGGAAAAAGAGAGAAATACATAAGAAAAAAGGTGTGTCCAAAAAACATAGTTGGAAGAAAAAGAGTATCTTCTTTGAATTACCATATTAGGAGCATAATTTAATAAGGCATAACCTCGATGTAATGCATATAGAGAAGAATTTTTTTGACAATCTATTGTGGACAATATTAGGAGTTGTGGGAAAATCAAAGGACAACTTGAATGCAGGACGTGATCTATAAGAAATAGATATCATAAAACCACTACACCTACAGTCAAGGGAGTCTGGTAAAATGTACTTACCTCCTGCACAATTTTCCATGAGTAAGAATGACAAACATAAGTTTTGCAAAGTATTAAAGGGGGTCCGGGTACCAGACGGATATGTATCCAATATCTCACGACATGTGAATTTACAAGAACGAAGTATTGGAGGTCTTAAGAGTCATGACAACCATATTCTAATGCAACAAATTATTCCTTTGGCTATCCAAAAATTATTGCCTAAGAATGTAGTTCAAGCCATAATTGAACTTAGTAATTTCTTTAGTGAATTATGCTCAAAAGTGAATCATGCAACGGACTTAGAATATACTCAGGACCGTCTTGTGCTAACACTTTTCACCTTGAGAAAATATTTGTACCCTCCTTCTTTGATATTATGTAGCACTTGCCTATACATTTAGCTGACGAAGCATTACTCACTAGTGTAATGCAGTTTCGATGGATGTATCCCATTGAAAGGTCAATGATACTTCCTAATAATTATGTTTGTTAAAATTACTATCAAAAGGTAGTTGTAATCTTTTTTCCAATGAATTATGTCATGCCTTGTAACATTTATAGGTATCTTCTTACTCACAAACAATATGTCCGTAACCGGGCTCATCCAGAGGACTCAATTGCCAAAGGTTACTTGATGGAAGAATGCATGAATTTTTGTGCAAGATATCTTAGCGACACCGAAACCAAGTCTAACAGACCTTTCAAAAATTATGATTGTGGTGAGAACTTAGGTTGTGCTATAGGGGAGAACCTTCAAATTCTACTTGATACTGTGACATGGACACAAACTCATCGATTTGTTTTATTCAATACAGATTCAGTTGCACCATTCATAAAGTAAGTCATATATTTTAAACAAAACTTTGATAATTTTAAATTTAATTTTAATTTATATATGTAATTTAATTATTACTTTGACCTTACTCAGCGATCACCTTGCACTCCTTTGGAGTAAAATGCCTCGTACAGATGATCATCACATTCGTCGCAAGCACATTGAAACATTCCCTATGTGGTTTATGGAACATGTATGTATGAATTGCATGACATAATGTACTTGATTTATGTTATATATATTTGTATATTGTATATGAACTTAATGTTATTCGTTTGTTTAACATATTAAAAATAGGTTCAAACCATGTGGAGGTCAAATAATGTTGAATATATAGACGAAATTAATAGATTGGCAAATGGTCCTCAAAAGTTAGCAAGGAGATTTAAAGCATGCGTCATCAATGGGTTTCGTTTTCGCATAAAAGATGTGGATAATTGTCGAAGCAATCAAAATAGTGGTATCACATTAACAGCAAATACCGTGAGTTGTGCTAGTAGGAAAGACAATAATCCTCACATGGGAGATGTGTCTTATTATGGAGTCTTAACAAACACTGTTGAAATTCAATACACTAATGATATGAAGTATGTGCTATTCAAGTGTGATTGGATTGATAACAATAGGGAAAAAAGAAGATGATTTTAAATTCACACTGGTCAACTTCAACCATTTGTTGTATCGAGAAATTGGTTGACAAATGAACCTTTCATCTTAGCATCCCAAGCAGAGCAGGTTTAGTATGTTGAAGACCCTTTGGAACCAAATTGGCATGTTGTTGTGAAGATGTCATAGAGGGACTTATTTAATATGCAATCTAAAGACCTACAGTCAGAGCCTTTTATTAATCAAGAATTGGATGAAAATGTGATGATTCCCAATGATAATGCTGGTTAGGTGAGACAAGAAGTAGAAGGAGTATCAATTACCTGAAACGATGATGTTCCAATCAATGTTGAAAGGATGGCAATAAAAATAGTTGAAGTAATTTTAATCTTCATGTATAACATTCATTAATTATTATTTGTATGAAATTATATCTTTTTTTCTAAACGAGTAATATTAATAAGTTTGTATACTGCTACAGATTTACTATGCCAAAGAGGAAAAGATGTCCCCACTCTATGTCAGAGGTGTTGCGTGTATCTACATCAACATCACTAAACATTGTTAAGACCCCATCCCGACTATCATTATAAACAAATTTTGCAAGGCCACCATCATATGCACAATCATCTGAATTAGGTGTATAATGCATACAACATATTTCATACTTATTAATAGTTTATATTTGAAATTCACTAATATTTTTTGCCATTGTGACTCAATGACAAAAAAACAAGGCCAAACCCCAGCCAACGGTCCTAAGGAGTGGGCAACAGGAACAAAGATTGAAGTAGAATTCGATTCAACTTTTCATCCAGTTGGTAATAGAGCTTCTGAGTTAAAGACGGCAATGGGAAATATAATACGCAATGGGTATAGGGTTCCACTCACATACATTGATTGGGATTCAGTGCCCACTGATGTGCTTGATAGTATTTGGAGTGAGGTGTAGGTATAAATCTATATAACTTAGTAAATATATGATATTTCTTATTGTAAAAATATTACTAGTCAAATTGTCTATTTCTTTCAATGTTGAGAATTTTATTAGAATATAGTGTTGTATTGGCAAAAAAAATCTTAATTATAAGCTAATTGCTTGAATAATGGTTGTAGGATAACTTGATATTTGCACCCCCAGAATTTACAGAGGTTTGCTTGAAAGCATGTAAAAAAAACATGGAGAGAGCATAAATATCAAATAAAAAAATATTATAAACCCCGCAAGATAGATGTGAACCTTTCTTCAAATATTCCTCCTGAAATAGTGCCACAGTAGTGGCAAGAGCTTGTGCAATATTGGGGAAGTGACATAGCAAAGGTATGAGTATAATTTTTATATACCATTATAATAATATAATACTAACTTTGAATAATTCGTAATTAATGATATAGAAAATATCATACCAAAATTCAAGCAATCGTGAATGTCAGGGCCCAATTCACCGGAGTGGGCGAACTCACATTGCCCAATTACGGAGACAGGCAAGTGACTTTTAAAATGAATGTGTTTAGATGTGTAACATTATATCTATATTTGATAAGTGTTGAAATCTATTTTATGTTTGTTGATATTTTTAGATGGAAGAAAATGGAGAGAGAATCGATAAAATCAGTATCTATATCAAAACACGCAAAGAATGGTGTTCCATGTGACACAGATGCAGCAAAAATCATTGTATTTGTTACTTATATTTATGTAATTTTAAATAATTTTCTATCAGACTCGTTAGAAGATATCTAAGAAATATTAATTCATTTTTCTAAATTGTAGGAAGAATTTTAGGAGCGACTATCTCAGATTCCTGAGTTAGATCAGACACCAACCCTTCGAGATCAAATTTTTCATGAGGTTTTTGGAGAAGATGGACATGGATATTGCAAGACCTATGACACTAGAGTGCCTCGGAGTGCAGTGTATAAACTGAATACAACCTCATCAGATGTATTAAATCCTATATTCATTGATCAAATTTTTCATACAGTACGAGCAGAGGTAGAGCAACAATTTAAAGAAACAATGCAAGCGGAGGTAGAGCAGCAATTAAAAGAAACAATGTGAGCCAATGTAGCTCAACAATATATTTAAAAAAATGCAAGAGAGATCACATCCACAAAATGCTCACATGTGACATTTTTCTCCTGAAATTGGCCTTGTGGGGTTTCCATGATTGTGGGATTTTCCACCTAAAATTGGCCTTGTGGTGGTTGTGGTGATTTTGGTTGGGTAGGAAACTTGCCCTTCTCATGTATGGTCATGGATTGAGTCAACTTTTGGATATGGATTTTAAGATCGTCGAAAGATTGAGTGATCTGTGTTTTGAAATCAGTAAAAGCCTAAGTGGAACTATGATTGTAGTTCATCTGGCTTTGCATAAACTGATTCAGAGTATCCTCAAGACTCCTCTTTTGTGGTGGTTGGTATGGTTGATGCGTGGGAGGTCCTTGAGGTGGTGGGTGTGAACCTTGTTGTTGGTTCATGGGAGTTGGTTGTGTGTTTCTCCAACTAAAGTTTGGGTGGTTCTGCCACCCTGGATTGTATGTTTCAGAGTATGGGTTGGAGTAAGGGTTGTTGAAGTTGGAGACAACATTTATTTGTTCCAACAAAACCTCTTTGAATGCTAGAATGGTGGGACACTCCCCAATAGGGTGTCCTGTCAGCGCACAGATTGTAACGCCCCAAAAACCCCCGTGGGTGACATTACATTCTAAAAACCATTTACGGTATGAGAGCATTAAGTAAAATTCATCACGACGAAAGTTTCATTCATCAACCATTCATATTTTAACAAAATTTGGGCAGAGTCTCCTTTGTACGGGGAGCTCTACCCAAAACACAACCTGTACAATTATATTACAATTGACCACACCGGGTCCACATATGCATAACTATTGACCACACCGGGTCCATTTTTCCATCATAAAATAAACTTGCATTCATCATATGTCATATCCACACTATCATCCCAAATTAATAGGTCTAATCTTGGCCTTTACATCTCCAAAATGTAATAATATAACGCAGCGGAAATAACAGAAATGAACTAGAGTTCAAAAGGATATTCTAAGCATAATCTAGTCTAGAACAAAATAAAAGTGTCGCTCTAAGCGTCCACCTCGGGATCCACATCCCCGTCAAGCGGAGTCTTCCAATGGGTGGGCTCCTCGGCTCCTAACTCCTCCTCAAGTGTGAAATCTGAAAATTTTTATTTGTAGGGGGTGAGCACGAAGCTCTGTAGCAAAATCCTCTCAACTCAAACAAGGTTTGAAAAACATAGCAAACGGTCGGTCTCATTTCACAACTAACATATATATAGGTTTGGAATGAAAACAGTGACATTTTAAAAGAGATCTCAAGTTTAAACAATAGCAATAATCAGTTAAAAGAATAAAGTGAGTTTAGCATCGATAAACAAAATTCTAATTTAAGCTATTTAAGAAGGGCTTCTCCCTAAGCATTGTCCCATACCAATGCATCGGCAAGAACGACCCAACTCCCGATTCCATGTATTTTTGGTTCATCCCCGTACCATGTATGTTGATTGCTTCTCGTGAATCTACCTAACGATCATGCCTAGTCCACCAATTCCAACCAACAATCACAAATCTCTTTAGGAAGGGCGTGTACCGTCTCCTACGGCATTGACGAAATCCTCCCAAGGTGTCTAGTATACTAACCCTTTTCCTCGGTGTATATGTGAACAATAGTGATCGCGAGCACAACAACGATCCACTACGAGCATTAGGCAACCATCTCACCCCCCATTGGGATAGACTAACCTCTAACACTCTACGGCATCTCTCGAAGGTAATCCAAGTCCATCACAACAACCATACAATGAGGAAATCAAGAATATTCACAATTCACAACAATTTCCCAAATATAGTAAAATCCCCAATTTTGTTTTCACATTTGTCATATAATCGAATAATCCAAGAAAATATGCAAGAGATCGTAATCTATATCATTTTGTTATACAATATTCAACACTAAAGTTTTAAAATCAAAGACAAAGAAGAAATTAGGAGAAAATCCCCTTTTCTTGAAAACTAGGGCTTTGAAGATAAAAAAAAAATCAATAGAGCTTTGGTGGTTACCCACCCTTCATATTGTTCAAAACATGGCATTTATTACAAATAGAACAAGAATCATGTATTTCATATTATATATATGAGAAGGAGAGTGAAGAAACATATATCTATATACATATATATATCTATATATATATATCTAGCCTCAATGTGAGAGATTGAGAGAAAATCCCCTACCTTAAATCAAGATTCCAAGCTAAGACCCAAGCTTCAAGACCTTCTTGCTCTCCTTTCTTTTCCTCTTAATCTTCTCCTCCTAGGGTTTCAAAAGATTTGGGTGAGAGGGTAGCAAGAATGGAAGAAAATGGGAGGAGAATGTATTCTTGAAGAATTTGAAGTTTTGATTTCTACAAGGTATAAATCCCTCTTGATTGGTATTTCTATCTTCCTCTCTTCCTCTAAAATGGTTCCTAGGGTTTGGAGGGGTGAAATGAATGCTAAAGGGACGACATTAGGTTTTTATAGGGCAAGAAAATCGAGCAAAACCCGATATTTTCTGTTCAGAAAAAATCGGGTTTCCTTCGTACTGTTCACAGATTTTTGGTGCGACTTCCAGGTCAGTTTTGACCCATTTAGAGGTCGAATTGGAAATTTTTCATGAAATACACTTTTGTAGCCCTAGATGTCTACTATTTCCTGTCAAAATTTCAGATCAATTGGACATCAAAATATAAAGTTATGATCAAAATACTAAGCAGTGTCCATCACCCCTTTTTACCCAATTTCACTCCAATTTGGTTTTACTTCTAAAATACTTCCTAACTTCTAATACATCCCATATTACCTCTCCCAATGTTTTCCGACCTCCCGAATTCAATGGTAATGTTATTTTGATAAAAAAAATTAATATATTTATTTAGTTACCCTTATCAATCTTAAACACATCCAAAAAAAAAAAATTAAGTTTGACCCAAAAGTCAATCCGTTCGAAACTCAAACTTCATGATTAATATTTCAACAATGATTCTAAGTTTTTATCCTCATTTTATTCATATTTGGAAAACTCTTAAGATATTAGTATTCTTATTTAATTTTAGTACAGGGTCTTACAATCCACCCCCCTTAAAGAAAGTTTCGTCCTCGAAACTTACCTCAAGTAGCGAACAAATATGGATATTTCTCTCGCATCTCCCACTCCGGTTCCCAAGTTGCTTCCTCTACGCCATGATGTTGCCACAGGACTTTCACCAGCTGGATTACCTTGTTGCGAAGCACTTTCTCCTGGATATCAAGAATCTTCACCGGCTGCTCTTCATAGGTGACTCCATCTTGCACTTCAATATCCTCCAAATCCACGACATGCGACGTATCTGGTTGACATTTCCTCAACATCGAAACGTGGAACACGTCATGAACTCCTGACAATGATACTGGTAGCCGAAGTTGGTATGCTACTTTGCCCACTGTCTTGATCACTTCAAATGGACCGATGTACCTTGGAGCGAGTTTTCCTTTCTTACCGAATCTAAGTACGCCCTTCTTGGGTGACACTTTAAGAAATACAAAATCTCCCTCCTTGAATTCCAAAGGCCTTCTTCTCCTATCCGCATAGCTCTTTTGTCGACTCTGTGCTGTGCGTAATCTCTCCCGAATGAGCTGAATCTTCTCCGTTGTCTCCCGTACAATCTCGGGCCCAAACATACTACTCTCTCCGGCTTCCAACCAACATGTCGGGGATCTACATGGTCTTCCATACAAAGCTTCATACGGCGCCATTCCGATACTCGCTTGGTAACTGTTATTGTACGCAAATTCCACCAACGGTAAGTGATCGATCCAACTCCCTTTGAAGTCCAATGCGCAAGCCCGTAACATGTCTTCCAAAACCTGTATCACTCTCTCGGATTGGCCATCTGTTTGAGGGTGAAAGGCTGTGCTGAAATGTAATTCTGTCCCCATAGCTTGTTGTAGACTTTGCCAAAAACGAGCCACAAAACGAGAATCGCGATCCGACACGATAGAAAGTGGAACTCCATGCAATCGAACAATCTCTCGAATGTATAGTCTGCTCAAGATCTCTAACGAGTCTGTGGTCTTCATCCCCAAAAAGTGAGCTGACTTGGTGAGTCGATCTACGATAACCCATACGGCGTTATGCCCTCTTGAAGTCCGTGGAAAACCCGACACGAAGTCCATGGTGATATGATCCCACTTCCACTCCGGGATAGGCAGAGACTGTAATAATCCTCCAGGTCGTTGGTGCTCAATCTTCACTTGCTGACATACGGCACACCTTGAAATGAACTTTGCTACATCCTTCTTCATTCCACTCCACCAATATTGTCGTTTCATATCTCTATACATTTTTGTACTCCCCGGATGTATAGAGAACTTCGATCGGTGACACTCTCCCAACACTTCTTCCCTCACTTGGTCGTCGTTTGGCACGCATAATCTTCCCCAAAACTGTAACTCCTCATTCTTTAAAGACCAATCCTCAACAATCTCATTCCTCTCCAATTTATCCCGAATTTTTGTCAACTCGGGATCTAATCGTTGCAACTCCACAATCCTTTGTCGGAGGATTGGTTGAGCTACTAGGTTAAACAAACATGGTCGATCCTCCGGTCCATTAACCCATAGATCAAACTCCTCCAACGTATCCATCATTTTCCACCGTTTAGCCGCAAGGACATTGATTTCACCCTGAGACTTCCTACTCAATGCATCCGCTACTACATTAGCCTTCCCCGGATGATAGTTGAGAGTGAAGTCGTAATCTTCTAAGTACTCAATCCACCTTCTCTGCCGGAGATTTAATTCTTTCTGTGTGAACACATACTTGAGGCTTTTATGATCCGAGAACACTTGAAATTTCTCTCCATACAAGTAACACCTCCACAACTTAAGAGCAAAAACCACAGCGGCTAGCTCCAAGTCGTGAGTGGGATAGTTCCGCTCATGAATCTTGAGTTGCCTCGAGCCATAAGCAACCACCTT